GCTCAGGCTGCTGTAACAAAACACCTGACTGGTTAGCTTCGTTCCCCCAGTTCTGGGGGCTGGAGGCCGAGGGTCAAGGTGCCGGTGGATTAGAGTCTTGAGAAGGGCTGTCTTTCTGGCTTGTAGACAACTCCCTTCTCACTGAGTCCTCACAGGAGCTCTTATTTGTGTGTGTGTGGGACGAGTTAGAGACGATCCCTCTCTCTTGCTTCCTCTTCTTAACCAGATTAATTCCAAATACCTTCATATCAGAGTCAGGACTTCAATATCTGAGCTTTGGGGGTACACATTCAGATCATGACACCAACCATTTTGATATTTTCATCATCTTCTGGAAGCCAAATAACACACTTGGCAGTTTTTGTAGGGCTGCATTTGCTCTCTTCTGGCATTGGGGACAAGGACTGAGCTTTCAACAGGACTACCCAGGCATGATGGAGTGGGGTGATGTGAGATCTCTCTATGCTATGCAGGAGAGCACACAATTTAAACCTTATAAACTGCTTATTTCTGGAATTTTCCATTGGATATTTTCAGACCTTGGTTGACTGTAGTAAAACTTATGGTGGTTACTATCTTTGGGCATATGTGAAAATGATTCCCAAATGCGATGGCATAAAGTGCTGGGCCTTCGGGAGGTCATGAGGACTCCAGATCCTGAGTGGGACTAATGTCTCTATAAAAGAGGCTTCAAGAGGCCTCCTCTTCTTCTCTTTTGCTCTTCCACCCTCTGAGGATACAGTGTTCACCTTCTGCCACATGAGGACACGGCAGCAAGGTGCCATTGTGAAAAAGAGACCCCCTTGCTAGACAACGAGCTGCTGGTGTCATGATCTTGGACTTGCTGGCCTCCAGAACTGTGAGAGTTACATTTCTATCATTTACAAATTACTCAGTCTGTGGGCATTTTTATTACAGCAGCAAGAATGGACTAAGACATGGGAGTCCCTGGATGATGTAACATGTCCTCTGTGATTTCGCTTAGTGGTGGCTTCAAAATCATGGTGGCCACTAACCTTGGGATTCTCCCCTGTCAGCCCATGGTACTGTTTCTAGAAATGCTTTGTCATTTTCTTCCTACTGTCCATTTCAAAACTATCTCCATCTTTTCTTTCAAAATGCTGAGTAGGTCTTTGTGCAAGTGGGAGTTGCAATCTCCCAAGGATAAACCAGGAAAAGAGAGGTGAGTTTGTAGTTGACCTGTGCTTGTCCAGGTATGATATTCTGAGGTTGAAATCTGCCGCACAGGGAATTTGGATGAACTAACTTCTCCAAGTACCTGCTTGTCCTCACAGCAGAGGGTGAGCAAAAGGAGTCACCCTCTCCTTTCATTCCTGAACTTTAGTCTTGCATTTGTGTATAAACAGACTGATTTTGAAGAGCAGAGGGCAAGGAAGGCTTACAGAAAGTGGCTATTTGAAAGGAAGAAGCCTTGATTCATCCAGCCATATGAGTTGCCCCAAATGGCACTCTGCTCCTAGAGTCCAGAGGCTGTTTTAGATGTGCACCAAGTTGGTGGCTGGCTGTGCCCAAGGCTGCCTGCAGAGTGTTCCCCTGAAAAGGACATCTGTGGGAAGGCTGGGCAACAATGCCCCTGCAAGGCCTTTTGGGATATGAATCGTCACTGGCTACAAAAAATTAATTCCTTTACCCTTTGAATATTCTAGACGATTGGTTTGGAAGAAAAAAAAATGTTGAAATCTTCCTTGCCCTTCAATTTTACATATAATGAATGCAATTCCATTCAACTTAGGCAAGATTCATTAAAAACCTACGTGGGGCTGGGCCTATGTGAGATGTTGTGGACCCAAGGATGATAAGATGCTATTTCAGCTCTTGAGGAGCTCACAGTCAGGAGGAAGACAGTCAAGTGAACATGACAATGAGGAGAGACTGGGCAGAGATGGGACTTCTGTAGGAGCAGGTGGTTTGGGTGGCAGGGAAGGATGCACTGGTTCTGGGAAAACCAGGAGAAGCTTCAAGGGACAGCAATGACCACTGAGGCTTGAAGGATGCAGATGCAGCCTGTGGGATTCCAGACTACAGTAGTCTCCCTTATCCACAGAGCATGCATCTTAAGTGCCCAAGGGGCGGGGTGTCTGAAACCATGGCATCTGCTGGGGCTCTTGCAACCTCCTACTGTGTTTTTCTTGTGTGTTCTGCAGCGTGGCCACCTAGTACCAGAGTCAATCTGTCCTTCCATGTCTCCTGCACTGGTGCCTCCTTTACATCCGCCTCATATTCTGAGCCACCATTAGGTAAAATAATTGTGATATTTGAGCACAAGCCCTGTAATTTTGTGACAATGAATCTGAAAACAAAGAAAGATGCCAAGTGACTCGTGGGCAGGTAGCATATACCAAGGGATACACTGGGCAGAGGGATGCTTTACTGCAAGAGTGGTCTGCCTCATGCTTTGAAAACAGCCCTTGCTGCTCTGCCATCAAGGCTTATTTCAAAATCCACTTGGTTTTTCCTGTTCTCCCTCTCCCAAATTAACCAGTGAATCATGATTACCCTAGGGGGAACACCTGGAATGTAGCTTTTTGAATAGCTTCTTCAAAAACCCTCTGTTCTCCACGATAGGCAGAAGCACAGCCTCTGGGACAGGAGTCCCCTGTGCTTTCCCTTGCTAGCAAAGCAATAAAATTTCTTTTTCCTTTTTTTCAAGACTATGTTCTGGTTATTGGACTGGCACTGGGACAAGGACTGAGCTTTCAGGAACAGGACTTCCGAGGCATGATGGAGTGGGGTGATGTGAGATCTCTCTATGCTATGCAGAAGAGCACACCATTTAAACCCTATAAATTGCTTATTTCTGGAATTTTCCATTGAATATTTTCAGGCCTTGGTTGACTGTAGTAATTAACACCATGGAAAGTGACACTGCCAAAAAGGTAAGCCGCAGGCAAAGAGCACACGCTCTCGGCAAAGCTGCAGAATCCTGGGAGCTGCTTCACGATGGAGCGCAGTGCAGGGTCTGTCGGGGAAGAGGCTGAGAGGAGCCCAGGTGAGGGTCACCGTCAGGAGCTGGGCAAGCCTCGCGCAGAACCTGCACAACAGGCTACTGTCATGAATGCCACAGGATGCTTTAGAGCAGAGATACAGTCAGGATTTCATTTTAGAAAGACAAGTGTGGATGCTGAGCCTGCTTGTAGCAGGGAGCCAGGGGCTCACATGGGACCCTATTCCAGTTATTCAGGGGAGAAATGATGAGCCTCCATGAAGAGTGCTGGTGTGGCCGAGAGAGGGCTTGAGAAGCCAGAGGGCAGACCACAAGTTGTCAGCTGGGCAGGTAGGACTGCTACAGAGCGCATCTCACATGACACAACAGCGGGGCAGAATTTGCTGGGACCACAGGGACTCCGAAAGCTTGGCTGCCAGGCCTGGGTCATTGCTGGTCTCCATGGACCAGAGTCTGGCCCATTCATTTCATATCTGAATCTCCCCCACTGGCTTCCCTGCAGACCCCCAGAGCCCCCTGCATTGGAGCCCGTGTGGTTCTTTCCCTCTGACTTCAGACGGGTCATTCATTTTGGATTTCCTCCACAGTGAACCTTCACATCCTGCACAAAATGCCCTGGCCCTGGGACTCAGCCCTCCACCATTTTTGTTGAGAATTTTGATGAAAATTCAAGGTTTGGGCTTATGACACAATATTTTTTCCTGGTCTGTTCGTTCTTGGAACCGCTGGGACAAGAATATTGGAACAGGAGGTTCCACCCTCCTCAGTCACAGGGACATTTCTAGCATGGACTTAAATCACCTTGGCTCCCATCTCCAGCTCACATTCCGGGCTCCCACACACCTGAGGAAAAGTCTTCTCAAGGGCACCCCAAAGAGTACCCACAGCCATAAAGCTCCTGCGCATTCAAATTGCTTTTTAAAAACAAAGGCTGCGAACAGCACAGCTATAGGCGCCTGTGAATCATCAACCCAGACGTCTTGCCTCGAGGCTCTCCTGACACCCCTCCATCCCGGATGCTGATGCTCTTCCTTCACCAATTATGGAGGCTGCCAACATCCTTCTGGGGAAAGGATTATCTGATTCCACAGGCAGTTAAGAATCACACGTAAATGTCATTTAGATGAGTGATTTCTCCACGGATCAAAAGGCACACTCAAGTTACTCACTACGATAGCCAAACCCTTTAGTTCCATAAAATCACAGCAAACCCACAAGACTCTCCGACTGAATTAGCACCAGTGTGGTGTGGGAGTCATTCAGACATTCCTTCCAGGTTAGTAGACTGTGCAATTCAGCTCTCTCATGGATGTGCGGGTTATATAACCTCCGCCAGCCACGGGGGAAGCTAGAATCCAAGCCTTCTCGAAATTTTCCATTGAGTGCTCAAAGCCAGTGGGAGACAGCGAAGGAATAACTCCCCGCTCTCCGGCCCCCTCCAGTAATATCAGAGCGCGAGGCAGCATTTCAGATTGGCTAAGAGGCACAGTGCTCTTCTTGGAGCAGAATCCTGATGCTTGGTTCGAATCCTGATGCTTTTAGGAGCCGCGTGGCCTGGATGGTTTCCTTCATCTCTGTTGGGTTTAAATTTTGTCAGCTTTGATAGCTTTGACTTCCTTTTGGGGTAACTCTGAGGCTTGAAGTAATGCATGCTAAGTCGCCGCAGTTCCTGTACACAGGGCTCAGTAAATGCAAGCTATTGTGTAAAAACAAAATTGTAAGTTCCCTGTCTTAATTTAAATCAGGTAATGTTGCCTTTTATAATATACCTGACTGTTTTAATACCCGAGAGTGCTTTCCTTATAATTTCCAGTAGAATCATTGCTCCCAAAGAAAGGTGCCATGTTTATGTTTGACTTTTCATGAACCCCAGTACCCGGAGGTGAGTCGCAGGACTGACCCAATGCTATGGAGAGGGCAGTCCTTGTAATTAACAAGCTTCCTTGAAGAGCTCTTGCCATTTCTTTTCTGGATAAGGGAGTTGAAAAGCCAGTTCTCATTGACAGAATTTCCATGGGTGAATTTCCTAATTGTCTAACTGAGTGGGTGGAGTCTAGGAAAACAGTGACAATCAGTCCTCCGGCTTATCCTCAGATCTACTTCCTGCAGGCTCAGTCACTGTGGTTCAGTATTAAATAGAAAATTCCAGAAACAAACAATCCACAAGTTGTAAGTAACTTTTATTACATTATATTATTATAGTCATTTTACGATTATTATTGCTAATCTCTGTGCTTAATTTGTAAATTAAACCTCAACATATGTATATACAAAGAGGAAAAAAATAGAGTACATATAGGATTTGGCACCGGGTGTGGTTTCAGGCATCCACTGGGGTCTTAGAATGCATCCGTATGTATAAGGCGGACTACTGTTTGTCCACATTTGTTCACGGCTTGGTTTCTTCTCAAGAGCTTCACAGTTGACCTTACATCACTAATTGCCATCGGCATTCTGAGGAACAGCAAGCCAGTGTTCATGTCTGGAGATGAAGAAGGTGCAGGGGATTGTGGGGAAGTCTGGCCTCAAAGTCGGTTCTAGGCCCGGCTCTCACCCTGCTCTGGTTCTTTGCACACGCCTTTTCTCTTTAGATGGTTTCTACTCACACACAAGGAAGGGATGGGAAGTGAGTTGCAGGACCTCTGGCTCCAAAATTCTAAATCTGTAAGCTCCCAAATTCCAACCACCTGCACAGCACTCTAGGCTCTCTCTAATTGGAAGGAAGTTTACTCCTTCTCCTATGGAGAACATGAAATGGAAGTCATGTTTTGTGGCATTTGCCTCTAAAATTAGGCTTTCTATTTTGTTGACTTTTATAAAATGCATACCTCTTTTGTTTAGGCATTATTGTAAAAATTGTTTTTTTTAATATAATGTCATACATTTTTCTGTTAATATCGTACTATAATCTGATAAGGTGGCTTTGTAGATAAGAAACTGAAACTAAGAGGAGTCTTATAATAACATTCATCTACAGCCACGCAGTTCTCTTGGTTAAGTTAGGGCTCGGACTCAGGCTCCTTGACTCTAAAGCTCACACCCTTGAATAATTCCCTGTAAATCTGATTAAGTAGGGTATGACTGTACTGCACATGTCTTCTCTGAGCCTGTGATAGGGCTGCTTATCTTTGCTAGCTTTTACTGTTAAGAAGCCGCTCCATCATTGTGCAACCGGGAAGCGCACATGCTCTCTGTAGGCCTGTCTGATGTGCCTCTGATCTCGTTCCCCGTCACCCTCATGCATTCCTGATGGCTTATTAGAAACTCAGACCCTCGCTTGCTCATGCTTTTTCATAACAGTGGCTGCATCTCGTGCATGTGGATTCTTGGACCCTGGCACATGATAGGTTCGTGGTAAGTGCTCAATATTGGAATGCATGAAATCATGAATCTCTGCACCACTTAAATGCAATCACAATTCCAAATACAAATTTAATTTGGACTCAAGGAACAATGCCATTTCTATGAAGAAGGCTAAAAATAAACAATGAAAGTACATTTATCTGAACCAGGAATAAAAAAAAATGCTGACTGCCGGGGCATTGCCAGTGTTGCCATTTCCAGATCCATTTGGCTTTTTTTTTTTTTTTTTTTTAAACCAGTGACTATGTAGCTACAGCCCTGGAGCAGTGAATATGGATGACAGGAAAGACAAAGAGCTGAGACCAGTGGAGTTCAAAACATTCTCTCTGGAAATGCTCGAGCTCCTTTGCTTCGAAGGTTTGGAGAAATTTGCCAAAACTACACTGATTGCTGATTCAGAGAAACTGGTCTTAGGAAAGCTCACATTTTTGTTTCCTGATTTTTTTTTTTTTTACAGGGTGGTATTAAGCATCAAAGATAAACAGGCTAGAAACATATGGATTGAATTTTCCATGAAATGCATGAGTTTTGATATAAAGGGGACACGTCCTTCAAAAAGATAATTTGGCCTCTACAAAACCAGCATATTTAAGAACTCCTTCCATAGACTTTGGCAAAAGCAAGACCCACTGGACTCCTCCAGCCCCAGCAGCTTCCCCTTCAGTCCGTACCCCTGGCAGCCGGGCCAAATGAAATAGAGAACTCAGCATCCTCCGAGGGGGCTGTCTGCCAGCCTCAACCCTGGAGATATGGTCAAGGGCTTCCAGCTGGTCCTTGGAGCCAAGAGTACAATTTAAAAATGCTGCAGTCGCTTAGCATGTCTGCTCCGGGTTACTTGGAGAGACAGTCGTGTGGGAGCTGCCAGGCTGAGAACAGGATCCATGCCGTCAACTATTTGCAAAAGCTCAGCTTCCTTCTGCTGGGGCCAGCCTCTTCCCACCCCAGACAGTCTGCTCGAGGACAAAAAAACAAGGACAATCGTCAAGTTAAGAGTGCTCCCTAAGAAAGTATGGCAGGTGGCAAGAAAGATTCTTGGCCACTGAGTTCCAGCCAAAACATTCGGCGTTCTTCCTCCTGGGGGAGGCACTGGGAGCCCGTGGTGAGTCATCAGAGGGTGGGGGGGGGTGTGGCAGCGGAGTCCAGCTGCTGCTGAGCAGCTCGCCTGCTGCTGATGAAAATTAGTCAATTCTTGGAAAGAGGAAAGAGCTCGGCTTGCCCTGCTGCCCACTTCCAGATCCTCCTGTGGGCCTTGGGTTGGGGAATCAGTAATCTAGTGGAATGCAGTTTATTCTGCTCAGGGCACGCAGGGTGGTTTCCTTTCTACTTAGCCCTGATACTAGGCCCAGGGAGGAGGTATGTATGAGTCAGACTCTGACCCCAGGAGACTTACAGGTTCCTGCAAAATTCCCCTGGCTGTGCTATGGAACATTAGTCCTTGGAGATGAACCATTAAAACTGCCTCATCTGCAAATTTTAGGAGATGTTGAATCCCCTTTCATTCTTCATGGAGATGCACAGTATAGGGTCATCCTATCAAAGTAGCTCACACTTAAAGACCAACAACCCCACCCCTCCTCCTTTTCTCCTAAAACTATTTCCCAGAGCAACTTGGAAAATAATAGCTTAGTACAAAGATCCAAAATTACCTTTTTGTGAGATAAATATCATATTTACAGGTAACCACAAGGTGTGGACCTGGCAGAGGAGGAAGGTGGGGAGTCAGAAGGACCCTCCTGGAGATATGATGCTCTCAGGAGGTTTGACCCAAGAAGGAAAGTGTTCTAGACAGAAAATATGGGGATGAAGGGAAGAAGATTCCAGGGAAAGAGGACGACTTGCATGGGAATGCATAGCCTGCGGGGAGAAAGCCCTTCCCCGTGGGGCCTGAAGGGAGGAACGGGGGCGGAGTGGGGAGGTGAGTGGGAAGAACAGCAGCCAGGGCTGGAAAGGGCAGGAACCAGGTGCTCAGATTTCCCCAGGCCACCTCAGTGACCTGAGCTGCAGGTGTGTGTAAAAACCTGGGAAGAGGGCTCTCTCTGTCCAAGTGCCCGATGTCTAGCACAATGTACCTTCTCTACACATCGCATTCATTGAAACTCACAAAATCCAGTTTTCTGCAAAACAACAGCCTCCGAAGACTGGGAAGCATGGCTCCTAATGTTTGGGAACGATCACTCCAAAAGTACATTTTGGTTCTGGGCCTGGGGAAGCACGTCTCATGAGGAACAAGCAGAAGGTAACTCAGTAGCCTGACTTAGGCCCGGGGACCTGTGAGGTGGAGTGAAGTTGAGAATCCCAAGGGTGAACTAGAGATTGTCCAGAAAAGAATGAGACCAGGGTGGTGATCCTGCTTTAAGGAAAAATTCAGCGCTGTGTGCTGACCAGGCACGAGGTCCTCCAGAAAGGGGTGAGCTGGGGTCAGAAAGACTGGCTTCTTGTTCCTGCTTGAGGACAGCAGGTGTGGGCAACGGCTCTCTTGTAGAGTTGGCTGGAGACCAAAAGAGCATATTTGTTCCGACACACTGCAAGTTCTCCGTGTTAGCAAGAGCTCAACATGAGGCTGAACATTAAAATCAGTCACATTGAAATCTGTAGATTCAAGAGAAGGGACTGTTGGAGAGCGGGACACCATCCTGCCTTCTTCAACACATCCCCCAGGGACCCTGACATCAACGCAGAGGAATCATTTTCGCTTCCATTTTGCATGAATGAACCAAGCCTGGGAAACACTTCCCCAGGTTCTTGCACCTCCTCAGGGACAGAGGCAGGGTGTGGTAGCAGGTCAGTGTGGTTGCAAAGTCCCTGCTCTTTTTGTCCTTTGCCTTCATCCTGAAACAAAGTTTATTAAGTGCTCTGGAGTGGTTTGAGTAAAATCGATCTGCCCTCCAAAGTCAAGAGCATGCAGTAATGGAACAGGGATGAGATGGAAAATGCAGAGGCTAAGTGTTTCCTAATGGGGCTTCTCGGCAAGGAAGTGTGACATCGCGCAGAGGCTGCTCCAGATGGGGTGGCCTTGGAGCCCAGTCATTTGGGACACGCAGCAATGGATACGGTAGTGACCAGGTGAGCTGGAGCCCATGCACATGTGGCTCTTACCATTTTTAGGCCACTTCCACCAATATCAGGTGGGTCTGGCTCTGCTTCACGTGATCAATAACCCTACCCACCCCACTCCAGAATCCTCCACTTGGAGGACTAGCCACATGGGGGAAATCTTAGAGGCTGATTCAGACTCTAACTGGACAATTTCATGAGAGCAGAGTTTGCTGCCTTCTCTGAGCAAATGCACAGGTGCCACCCATGTGGGAGGTGCAATAGAGAGCTCAGACTGCATAACAAAATGCCACCAACTGGCTGCTTTAAACAGGAGAGATTTATATTTACAAAAAGATAAATTTGTTTTCACATTCAGTGCCTAGAAGTCCCAGGTCAGGGTGCCAGTGGGTCTGGCTTCTCCCAAGGCCTCCCTTCTTGGTCTGCAGAGGGCCACCTTCTGTCTGTGTCCTCCCAGGGCCATTTCTCTGCACACACACACACCAGGCATCTCTCTTGTTTAAAGGATATCAGTTATATGAGATTGGAGTCCCCGGTTGACCTCATTCAGCCCTAATTACTTCTTTAAGGCTTTCTCTCTAAATGTAGTCACCTTGGGGGTGAAGGTTCCGATATATAAGTTTTGGGAGGCCACAGTTCAGTGAACAACAAGAAGAAGGGATTATAATGGGGAATTTTCATTGCAAATGTATTTAAATGCAAAAAAAGGAGTCCAGTTTGCAATGAGATGTCATTTAGAAATGTGTGGTACAGTGGTTCTCAACTCTGTCTAGACATGGAGTCACCGAGGACTGATGGCTGGGTCCCAACCCAGAACAGAAAAAACCTCACACACTAGTGTATTGGGGTTCTTCAGAGAACAGAGCCAATAGAGTATGTGTACATGCATGCATGTGTGTGTGTGTGTGTGTAAATTGAGAGAGAGAGAGAGAAAGAGAGAAAGACAGAGAGAGAGAGAGAGAGAGAGAGAGAGAGAGAGAGAGAGAGAGAGAGAGATTCTGAGGCTTCAAGGAACCTACTCATGAGATTGTAAGTTTGGAAAGTCCCGAATCTGTTGGCAACCAGCAGCCAGGAGACCCAGCAGAGTTGATGCTACATCTTGAGTTAGACCACCTGAAGGCAGAATTCCACCCTTCTGGGGAGAAGTCAGACTGTTTTATCTTGAGGCTTTCAACTGATTGGACAAGTCTCACTCACATTATGGAGGTGAATCTACTATACTCAGATTGAAAAATCTCATCTAAAACATACCTTTATGAAAACATTCAGAGGGATGTGGATGTTTGAACAAACACCAGGGCACCATGGCCTGGCCAAGTTAATATATAAAATTAACATCACAAATGCTGATCTTCAATAGTGCCCCTGCTGATTCCAACGGAGAGTCAGGGTTGAGTACTGCTGATACAGAACCAGAACTTTCAGAGGCAAGAAATCTGATCAAACCTGACATACGGGCTCTCCACCCTGCCTGAGTCTCCCTCAGTTCCTTAGTTTCTTCTCTTCTGCCTACCTATGGTGCTCCTTGGCTACACATTCTAATTTTCTGAGAGCATTAAAAATTCTGATGCTCAGGATCACTGCCAGGGATATTTGTTTAACTTGGTAGGGAGTAATCAAAAAAATCACAAATGCAAAATGCAGCCTGGATGTCAAGGGCTTGGAAACGTCTCCAGGAGATTCTAATGGGACTGCCAAGTTGAGAACAGCCATTCAGTAGCTCCACGTATTTACTGAAACTTCAACTTTACTTGGGTTGCTGAGAAACTTACCTTTGCAGCTCCACCTTGTTTGTAGATCTTGCCTGACATGGGAGTACAGGACTGTGGATGGGCTTGGATATTTATTTCTGCCACAAACTCTGATTGACCAGTGTCCCTGAGGTGCCACTGTGAGCATCCAGCCGATCCCTCAGGGAGAACAGGATGGAGACAGTGGCACTGCTCAAGGAGTGACAGTGATTGGAGCAAGTGGAGGTCAGTGTCTCCAGCACACACCGTGCTGCTTGCTGGGCCGGGGGGGGGGGGGCGGAATCTGTGTGACCAGGGACTTCTCAAGGTGGGAAAGGGAATGGGGAGAGGTATCCTGGGCTAGGCCAGAGCTGCTCAACCGGCCCAGCCAGGCGTGGGGTGGGCCACTCCGGAAGTGGCAGGCGGTCTGGTGCTGGTGAGTCACTGGACTGCTGGACAGTGGGTGAGATTAGATGGTAAGGAGCTCTGAGGGCCAGAGTGAGGGGTGGGGACTTCTCCTGCACCTCCTAAGGTCACCACGACAGAGAGCATTTACTGATGTTTTGACAAACAATATCTGAGAGCAAGCAAAGGGCAGCACTGGGAGGAGGAAGGACAGACTCAAAAGAAAGTTCTAGAAACAATCAAGGTAAACAATTCTGAGGACCTGGATCAGGGAATTGCTTATGGAGATGGACGGGCTAATGGGAGGCTGGAGACAGGGGAGCCAGTCGAGGGGCAGGGCCAGAGTCTGCTCCAAGGGCTCCCACGTGTGTGCACATACATGTGCACACGTGCACACACTGCAGATGGGATGTGCCAGGCCTCACGCCGGGCACTGTGACAGACACGGTCACTGGCCTCTCTGTCCTGTCCTGGGGTGTGATGGAAACATGAAAGGGAGAAAGCAGCCTCCTGGACTCCAGGCTGCAGGGAAAGTGTCCAAGGAAGGACCATCTGAGTCGAGGCCTGAAAAGTGAGTTGGAGTCCGGGGAGAAGGGCAGCTGGGGGCAGGAGGCTGGGCAGCCAGCAGAGGGACTGGCAGCAGGAAGTCAGGAGGGAGGGCCTGTGGGCCAGTGTGTCGTCTCCGTGGAATGGGCTCCTCCTGATGGCACATGGGTGTGCGGGGACCGTGGTGGGCATCCCCACCTGGAGAGGGAAGCGGGGGCAGATCCAGTGACGCCAAGACGCTGAGCAATGCAGTGTGCACACACCACCCGGCAAGCCGTCTGCTCAGCATCAAAGAAAGGGGCAAGGAACTGTGGACAGATTGAATGACAGAGGGACAATGCTCCTCTTTATAAAATGAATCCGAAAAT